CACACACACACACACGCGCGCGCACGCACACACGCACGCAAGCACACACACGCGCGCAAGCACACATACACACACACACACACATAGACACACACACACATAGACACACACACACGCGCGCGCGCACGCAAGCACACACCCATAGCTCATTTTGACTCTCACAGTAGGCAAGTTTCAGCCTAGAGATCTTACCACATACCATTTAGCATACTCTTCTTTCATTTTCTCGCTGTGGTGAATGCCAACTTCTTTCCTCTTCATTTGCCGTTTTGTGAGAGTTGGTTATTTTGACTAATCTTCTTTTGAAAACCCTCGATGACCTCACTGTTGTTTTTGAGTCATTAATTATAATCAATATTATAATTCTTAAATAATGTGAACACAAACTCACAACAGCATTCTTGTACAGCACTTTACAACAGCATTCTTGAACAGCACCCATCTTTACAACAGCTCTATTGCACAGCACCAGCAGCAGCAGTAGCAGCAGCAGTAGCAGCTGTGTGCAGCACTCAATCTCGTCAAGTTCTAGAATGTTCCCTCGGCAGCCAGCCACCTATTTCCCTAGATAGCCCCTCAATGTACCAGTACCACCAACCTCTAGCGCTGTACTACTAACTACTAACACTAATGCTAACGTAATCTAGTGAAGCTTTTCGCTGCGGCAGCGCTGATAGTTAAGTTTTCATGAATAGTTTTAAAAAGTGTTTTCTTTTCCTCTTTTTAAATACGCTGTTCTGTTATAAACTATGTACTCACTCAGGGTAGATTTTATTCTTGCATTCATATTTTATTATAGAGTAGCCTGCCAAGCCTGATAACTATAATGTGCTTTTATAAATTAGTTACATGTGTTGAATTGTTGAAAGAAAGAGAGAGACAGAGGGAGAGAGAGAGAGAGACACAGAGAGAGACAGAGAGAGAGAGAGACAGAGACAGAGGGAGAGAGAGAGACAGAAAGAGAGAGAGAGAGAAAAAAAAATTATAATTGCATTTATATAGCGCATATCCAAGCTCAAGAGCATGGTCTATGCGCTTTACAACTATCACTACCCCAGCAGACCTTCTGAGAACACTCAGAAACAGTCTCAGCTTCTACGGAAGTATACAGTACAAGCTGCGGATTTCACGCGCTCAAACACTGTCAAACGGACAAGATCTTTCACTGTCTATAGCCGGGTACCCTTTTCCACTTGGGTGAAGTGAGGAAA